TACATCCCCTGGGTTTGATCCAGGTCATTTGCGAGTAGCTATTTTGCGAGTAGTGGAGCGCGCTTATCTAATTCGGGGAACGAAGAGCGACGTAAACATAACAACTCTCGGTTCCGCGCGGAGTCCTCGGATCCGCGCCGTGGCCCCCAGGCGGCGCCCCCGGCGCCGCCAGCGCCGGTCCGAGGAGTCCGCGCGGATTTCCGAGTGTTTTTTGTATGTTTTTTGGCATTCTCCGTTCCCCTAGAAGTGTTCTCAGAGCATTTCTGGTCGCGACTGCCTGCCTCCTTCTACCACATCGGGCTCATGCTCTGAGTTCAGTGCTTCTGTTCTTGGTACTCTTCCGGGGGGTTCTAAGAACCTTCCGCGGAAGGCCTATAGGAATGCCGGGAAGGTCGGTCCCTGCTCAAGCAAGAGTGACCCTTCGCCGGAGTGACCTTTGGTGCGCGCCCATTGGGGCCCCCCGATCGCCGAACGCGGTGCGATAGTAGCGTCTTGCGCGCTCGTGTTTGGTCCAGGTCTGGTCTCCCCGCGGCCCCCCAAACAGCCGCGCACCAAAGGTCACTCTTACCCAGGGTCATCCCTGCGTGTAGCCGAAACGCCATCTCTGAATTCGGCCACGCGCAGAGGGGGTAGTTCGCTCGCAAAAAGAATGCATACTACATGTACCCAGAAGCCCTGGGGGGTGGGCGAGGGTCTCGGTCGTGTGTTTGGTCTCCAAAATTTGATCCTTGGGGCGTGGTTCCTGTAAACCAGACGTGGACTCGGGCGGCGGAATCTGAAGTGGGGCGGGGAGGGGGTCGTATACAAAAAGATGTTGACGAGGAAGGGGAAGGGGGGAAGGCTTCTTAAAAGGAGGCTGGTTCTTAGAGGATAGTGTAGGGCCTTCTCAAGAGCAGCCTCCTACGGAGCGTTTTCCCCTCCCTGTACCCCCATATGCGCGCCGTCAATTGTCCATCAGCGGGACCAGACCCGTCAAAAGCGGCTCGCGATGAGAGGCCGTGCCCAGGGAGAGGGTCCGCGGACGGGGCTAGGACGAGAATAAATCCGTTCCAGAGCGTTCCAGAACGCTCTCGGAACGTCCCGGATCGCTCGGAGAAGGCCGCGGCGCCCGCGACTGGATAAATTCTTCCCTCCTCGGGTTAAGGGCAATGTCCGCCGATGGAGGGAGGGGGGCAAGGTAAAGGGAATCAATTACCATAATCGAGAAAACAAAAGTTTTAAACCCCGTTGTCGTCAGTCCGCATCTTCACATCGAGCAATTAGGGGGCATCGCATTCCAGTATGTGAGCACATCATACATTTGTCTGAAATAGGCACACAACATGAATGTCACGGTTGCCACGCATTGCAAGGGCTCGGAATGATCAGAGGGAGTTGATGGTAAGATCGGAATTCCTGTCTTTCGAGTGCTGGCACGTACATGTGTTTTAGATCCGTTAAGAGCATCTTGCGGTTCATCAACTGCGCTGTCGTCGGGCGGCCGATGTGCTATCGGCCAGGCTGGCGTCAGCATCGGTTTCATATCCACCATTATCATCAGCAGCATCATCATAATCAGCATCAGCATCAGTTTCAGTATCATTCGGGCCGGACGAAAGGGGGGATTGGAAAAGGGGGGGGTACGAAATTTGCTGCATGCAGCTGGTTTCGGCCTCACCGAGGGGCCCATGCCTCGATACATAGCCGCTTCCGGCGCCGTGAGGCGCTCTGCAAACCGGCTGCGCGAGCCGATCCTCAGACGCCCCTTTTGCCATCCCCCCCCCTCTCGCCCGACCCGAGTCATCATCCGAATCCTCATCACCTCGTCGTGCCCCGCCCCCCTCGGCCACCCCCAGGGGCCCCGCCGGCGCCACCCCCAGGGGCCCCGCCGGCCACCCTCGGGAGCGCGAAGGGGTGCCCGCTTCGCGCTTCGCGGGCAGGGCGAGGGCTGCGCCCCGAGGGTTACCAGCCTGGAACACATCCCTATCCATGTGCTGGGCACCTCCTCATCACGACGCCAATCTTGGGGGTTCCCTTACTTTTTGAGGGCGGATCCCTGAGATTGTCGTCGCCCATTTGGCGTGCCAATCTTGGGGATAGGGGTACGTCCGAGGCTGGTAAGCTGCGGCGCCCGGGGGGCGGTGGCGGGCGCCCGCGGGGGCCGTGGGCGCCGCGGGTGCCCGGCGGAGAAGCGAGCGCCGGCGGCGGGCACGCCACGGCCACGTGGCTTCCGCCGTCGGCGGGCCGTTGTATCGGCGGCGAGCGCGGCAGGGCAGCGAGGAGTCGGGCGGGTCCCTCCTGCAGGAGGAGTATTCGCGAGCCTCGAGACGGGGGTCGATGCAAACGGGGGTCAGCCAGGGCGCCAGATCCTGCAGGATCCTGCGAAGACCCCCTCTGGCTGACCCGGATCAGCGAGCCGCTCGTGGCCGCGAGGCGGCCGCGCATACTGGCTGACCCGGGTTTGCGAAGATCTGCGTTGCAGGTTTTTTTTCCTGCATTGCAGTTTTTGGTTTCCTGCTGACCCGGGTCTGGATTGACCCGGGTCAGAAGATCCCCGAGCCATGGCTTCCGCCTTCGGTGGTCCTTTATCGGCGGCGAGCGAGGCAGGGAGGCGAGAAGTCGGGCGAGTCCCTCCTGCAGGAGGAGTATTCAAATATAGCAAAACTTGATCTTGAGATCATCAGTTCGTACTATGTTTGACATGTGTTGAGCATGGTTTGACTATTTTTTATTGTTCGTCCCAGACCCCCCGTAGGGGGACACCTCCGACCTGAGGGAAGCGAGAAGGCGCGGGCCTTTTCGAAGGCGGCGGGGCTTCTCAGAAGCCCTGTCGCGTTTCGCGCACCGTGCTTCGTGGGAGTTGCCTTTCCCGTGCACGAGATCTGAGAGCGTCTCTCCCCTTCTGCTTCCTCCTGCCCCCCCTCCCCCTTACCCCCCCCCCCTCCCCTGCTCCCGCTGCTGCCTGCCCGCGGAGCAATCCATACTTGACGATCGCACAGCTGCCTGGGTGCCGGAGGCACGGGCCAAGATTTCTCCCCCAGTTCTAGATCGGCACGGCCTTCGGGCCGCTCGGGACCAGCGTAGCGTAGCTTCGTGAGAGCGCGAGAGAAAGAAGATGGCCGCCCAGAGCGGAAGAGGCCGGTCTCCGCCGACGCGAGTAACTAATCGTGTGGGCCCAAACGTGCATGGCTCGTCCCACGGATCCGCTTCAGGGACGCTTCGCTTCCTGTGGCAGCTCCGGCCGCTGCATGGACGACGTGGCCGGCGGCGACGATGCGTCACCGGGCGCCTTCCACTACTCGCAGAGTGCCTACTCGCAAACGTCCGACAAAACATGCTTGCCTATATGTCATGTATCGTCAGTCCCCCGCGGCGGATCCATGCCATTTGCGAGTACTTGATTTGCGAGTCGTGGAGCGCGCTTGTCCAGCGCGGGTGACGCCGCCGCTGCTGGCCGCCCAGTGAGCCACGGTGGCCACGCTGGAGCTGCGCCCCGCCGAGCAGTGGGCCGTGCCGCCAACTTGTACTGGTGCCCGCTCGAGGCTCTTTGTCGTTTTGGGGCCTTTAGGCTCGGGGGTAGCACGTCATTCCAGAGCTGTCCAACGACGGCCGACCCGACTGTATGTTTTGCGTTGTGATGGGGAGGTGGGATGTGACCCCCCCGACAGAGGCTGACAATCTGAGCGAACTTGACCAGAGGATCGTGCAGTCATGTCCTGGACGGCACCATGGTTGGTATGCTCGAGATCTGGTCTACAAGACTGTCGACGCCATCGCATTGGTCCACCCTATCCCTTGCGAGTTCAGAGAGCCAGAGTTATGAATCGCTTCGCTCATTCCGCCGGGCCGTGGGGTCCTCTTGGGGGCCTCCAAGAGGCCTCTTGGGGGCCTCTTAGAGCCTCTTGGGGGCCTCTTGGGGGCGTCTTGGGGGCCTCCTGAGGGCTCTTGGGGGCTTCTTGGGGGCGTCTTCGGGGCCTCCTGAGGGCTTCCTGGAGGCCTCTCAGGACCGAGGGTTCGAAGTGTTGTTTCGTGCTCCCCCTCTGGGGCCGCTCTTGGGGCGCTCTAGGGGCCCTCTTGGGCCGTCTTGGAGGCCTCTTGGGCCGTCTTGGGGCCCTCTTGGGCCGTCTTGGGGCCCTCTTGGGGGCCTCTTGGGCCCTCTTGCGGCGATTTTGGGGGCCTCTTGGGCCGTCTTGGGGCGTCGGGATGCCGAACAGGTGGAAGCACCAAAATCTGTCCAAAACATACGGAAAAGCATTGAATTTAGCATCTTGGGGCCCTCTTGAGAGTGCTCTTGGAGGCCTCTTGGGGCGTCTTGGGGCCATCTGTCTTGGGCGTCTTGGAGCGATCTTGTGGCATCTTCGGGCCCTCTTGTATCATCTTGGGGGCCTCTTGGAGGCCTCTTGACCCTTCTTGGGGCTCTCGGGAGGGTCTCGAGGGCGGCGCCCAGACGGAAAACCATCTCTGATCCGACCCTGCCAGGGTACTTTTCCTCCGGGGACCCCCAGGGGCCGCCCCCCGCGCGCGAAGTAGAAATATTGTAAAGCAGTTACCGGAGATCTTAGCAAGCCTCTGGCCCGTTGGGCCGGCGAATTCTGAACATGCTGCAGGGTCGGCGCTGTAAGTTTCGGAAAGGCCATGGGCAGGGCGAGGAATCATCATGGGACGACGCCTGCTCCAGAGTTCTTGATGTGGATCGCACGGCTCGTTTTGTGTCAAAGCCAGCTGTTTTTTTTTCCCATCTTCTAGAATGCGTATCGCGGAGCTCTTTCAGGTCAGGTGGTGTTCCAACCAAATTGTGATCCGTATTCGACTCGGCGCAACCTTGGCACGTGGCCCAACCACTGGACGTCGCAGGCGATTTCGGCATCTTCACCCAGTGCAGCGGCATGCACGGCAACACCAGCGAGCAGCAAATGGTCGTGCTGCGACGCGGCTTGGCACGGTCGCTAACTTATTGATCAGGTGGTCGGCGGAGGCCCCTGGTCGTCGATAGTGCACGCCTGACCGGGTCAGAGCTTTCACATCAAGGCCAGGGTGCGTTTAGACTGCAACTCAGTATGCGCCTCATTTGGCTCATGTTCGCTCGCGCGAACTGTAGTTGCACCGGCGCGATCTTGCATGTATATTCCCCCCTCGAGGACGGGGTTGGGAAATGCAGGCCGCCAGCTGCAGGATCAGGATGAACGGGGCCGAGTTTTTGGTTCGCCTGCTTCCACCAGCGCTCCCGATCACGACCCAGCTGTCGTCGGGCTCGAAAACTGGAACGAGCTCGTGGCTGATGTATTTCGCATGTGGCGGGCTACCCGACGCAATAGGGATTTGTTTGAAGCAAGGTGAGGGGATCGTTTCGAACGGGGGGGCCGAACGCGCTATCGCCAAACATGAATGACGTGCTTCCCGATTTCTCATCGTCCCTGAGCGTGGTTCATGGGGGGAAGATTCCAGACAGGCTACATCCCTTGTCGCTGGCTTGGGTGACTCGTCGCTTCTGGTCGGTCTTCCTTCCGCCCGAGTCCGATGAGGGGGTTCGAGTGTCAGCATTCGCTGCCGAGGCAGCATTGCCTGCCCCAGCAGGGGTTTGCAGGGGCCTTCTGATGTCCCTCGCCTCTGGTGTGGTTCGCAGATGTTTTCCGAGGACCTCTGTCGCGGTTGCGGTGGCGCCTCGGCGTTTCCAGCGGTGCCCCAGCAGGGTGTTTGGCAGGACGATGGTTCGTCTGCGGCCGCGGTCTCTGCTTGTGCGGCAATCGCTGTGCTTTGCAGGGGGACATTCAGAGAATGGATACCCCTCGCGGAATTCGGCCGGCGCGTGCCCCAGCAAGGTATTTGGCAGTGCGGTGGGTGCTTCGTCTGCGGGTCGTGGGTTCTGCTTCTGTGGTAATACTTGTGCTTCGCAGGGGTGCGTTCATAAAGCGAATGCCCTCGCGAATTTCGCCCATAACGGTCGACTTTTTTTTTGTCTCGGGGTCCTTGCCCGAGGACAAACCCGCGCAGGGCTCTCCCACGGTTCCTGCTTGATGGCAAACCCACGCAGGGTTCCGTCCGAGGACGGCCTTTTCCAAGGGCCCGCACTCGAGGGCAAACCCACGCAAGTCTCTGTCCGAAGACGCCCCTTTCCCTGGGTTCCTGCCCGAGGGCAACCCTCAGGGGAATCATGTTCGACTGCAGTCCCACAGCTAGGAGCGGAGAGCTCAAGAGTACAGCGGGGGGTCACATACCAAGAAACACCCTGCTTGCCTCCAGGGTGCCCTGGGTTTCTTGGGTTTCGATGGCTTTTGTTAGGAAGCGTGGCGCTCCCACAGCAAAAGTCAATGGACGTCCTGGGGTCTCAGGGTTGGGTTTCTTGTGGAAGGTTTCTTGTGGACCGGCCTCCACAAAACTCTGGCATGCTCTGCCTTGTCCCAGGGCTTTGGCCCACAGGCAGAACCGCGCAATAACCGAGGGCGCGTTCATCCTAGAGGGTCCTTGCCCAAGGGCCAATTCACACAGGGTTCCGTCCGAGGGCGCTCTCTTCTCATGGTCCTAGGCCATGGGGGAACCTTCGCAACCAGCGTAGTTGGAGAACAGGTCGCCCCATTTTCTGGTGAGTTATATTCTCTCCGTTCAACGCACGCACGGGGCAGGGCACTGTCCCAGCGCGCCCCGGCCCAAGGTCCTTGCCCCAGGGCGAGCCCACGCAGGGCCACGCCCCTTTCCAGGGTCCCTGCCCCTAGGACAAACCCTCGCAGGGCTCTGCGGGGCTCCTCGGGTGCGCGGCGTCGTCGGCCATTTCTGTAACAGCTGGGAAACAGCTGTTGATTTTGCTGGGCTGATGGGCCGGCGCTCGCGGCCTGGGGTAGGCAGGCGTGCCGCCATGACCGCGCAGAGGCCCTCGAGAACCTCGTTACGCGCGGGCCCCCATGACTCACATCATTTCTTCTCTCTTCTCGCTCCCCCCCGTCAAACCTGAAAACCTGAAAACCTGAAAGGTGCCGAGTCGGCTCGCGGAGTCCGCGTGGCGCGGTGCCTCTGCGGGTCAAGGGTGCTCTGAGGTTGTGCGGCGCGGTGTCTCTGCGGGTCAAGAGTGCTCTGAAGTTGGCTGGTGGCCCGCCTGCCGGGCGCGCTCGTCTGCGACGATACTTGCGCTTCCCGTTTCTTGTGCTTGTCCTCCTCCCCCTCCTCCCTCCGTGTATCCGTGTCGTCATCGGTCATGGCCCCATTCCGTTTTGGGCTCGTGGAGTTTGCCAAGTCGGCCCGCTCTGCTACTGCTGCAACCCAAGCGTTCACAGCACTCTCCCTGCAACGCCCGTTCGCTGAGACGGATGGCGTTCACCGACGCCGAGGTCCGCGCCGTGCTTGCCGGGCTCCCCGTGGCCGCGTTCGGGGTCGAGTCGCTCGAGAAACGCGTGGCCTGGTTTCAGTGCGTGGCCCCGTTGGTTGAGTAACCGAAGGACAGGCACGATCTGCTCTACTACGCCGGCGCGGCCCGCGTGCTCGCCGAGGTGCCGGGGCCCGCGGAACCGGCGGACTTCTGCGACAGCCACGTGCGCCAGTGCACCATCCAAGGGCTGGCGTTGAACGCCAGCCCTTCCCCGACGAGGCTGGGGGCGCCCCGTGGACACCGTCGTGGTCAAGCCGGCCCACGTCGACTTGGCGTCGAAGGTCCAGGCCGAGGCCCAACAGTCCGCGCCCGCGAGCGCGCCAGGCCCCAGTAATTAGCCAGGCCGACCAAACGGCGCAGGCCATCGCCAAACGGGCGAAAATCTAGAACCCAAAGGCCGAAAAGGTGGCCAAGCGCGGCGCCCTGAGCGTCAAGCTGGAGGACTGGGTGGTCGAGGTTGGGCTGGAGAGCATTTGGAAGTTGTCGCCAGAGTTGACCCCAACCGAATAGCGTGCGTTGCGGATGGAGCGCCCTGCTTTGGCCAAGGCCGCGAAGGACAAGGGCCGCAAGTTGATCGGGTCCTCCGAAAGCGAGGACCAGATAATCAACTTCCGCCCGGGCTTCTCCACGACGCCTCAATTTTACTTGTTCCTGGGTTCCGGCTCGTTGGACGACAAGGTGCGGGACGCTTGGGAGGCAAAACGCGCCCGCGCTGCGGAGGAGCGCGCCACCTTCCTGGGCTGTGCCAGCTCATTGGGCCGCTTGCACGACTGGGGCCTGAAGATGGCGTTGTCGGAGGTAATCGCCCCGGTGCAGCCAGACTAGCTGGCCGTTTTGCGCGCGAGCCCTCGCGCGCTTGCGCGGCCGCAGCGATGCGCCAGCCAACGCCTAGCAGTCATCGGAATCCCCGCTGCGTGAAATATGTAATCCAAGTTGCGGGTGGTTGGGTGTAACGATTGCGCGAGCAGTGGAGCTGACAACTTCAATTCCGGCAGCGCAAATTGTATCAGATAGTTAACACCACATCGATTGCACCACGTAGATTGCACTACGTAGCTCACACTTCATAGATCGCACCAAATGTGTTGGTCCACGTAGCGCACACCACAGAACCCACACCACACGTGTGTATATAGATAGATACACATTGCACCACGTGTTTGACACAGCTTGTACCACATAACTTGTACCGCATGCATCACATAGTTGCCTTCTTCGTTTGCTAGAACATGTTTTTGGCCCCGCTTTGGTTCGCACTGCAAATTGGCAAGACAAGCGCCTAAGGCGAGAGCACCTTTGAGCAGCGATTTGCAAAAATGGTCACGATACGAATATGTCCAGGGGTGGGAACGGGGAGGGGTGGGGGTGGGGAGGATTTAGGCCTCCCAGATGGGATCGAAGTAAACGGTGCCAGGGGATCGAACCGCATCGGCGGTGCATCGGCGATGCGGTTCGATGTGGAATACATTTCCACGCCGGCCCTATCGATGTATCGCCATCGTCGTCGACGCATCGCCGATGCATCGGCGATGCGTCCAGCGATGGAGGCGCGGGGGAGGCGCGTGGAGAGGCCCGTTCCCCCCCCCCGTTCCAGGCGTGCCTGGGGATGCCGCCGGCGACTCCTCCGACGAGGTCGCCCTGCTGAGCGTCGCCGTGGATCCGTCGTGCCTCTCTGCGTCGTGGGGGTCGGGATGGGGCAGTGTCGTGGAGGGGTGGGGCCACGGGGGTCATGGGCTTCGGGGGAGGGGGGGGGAGCAACGGTAGGGCGGGGCTCGAGTAGTTCTGCTGTTTTCAAGACTCCCAGGCGGTTTTCCGGCTTGACGGTGCCTTCCAGCGGCGGAGCCTCTCCTCGGGGGCGGAAAAGAGGGGGGTGATGACTAGGGCCTATGACTAGGGGGGGTGGATATCATGGCGGGGGTGCATGATATTTCCCCAGATTTCATGGCGCCTCTTCTTATTTCTTCACGTCCCTGGCCCCCCCGTTGGGCCGCGCACATGCCGCCGGTCATGATTTGCACCCCCCCCTCTTGGACACCCCCCTCTTGGCCGCTCCCGATCTCCGGGAGCGTTCAGGGGGTGTTCAGATTGTCCCGAAGGGCCGCTGGAGAGCCGAGTCATGGCTCGCAAACCCTCGGGGGCAACCGCCAGGGGAGGCCCAACGCCCAGCCCGCCCATGTCGGTGCGGTTCCTCCATCGGGAGCGGAGCGCCGATGTGCCAGCGGCGCATCGCCGATTCCAGGCCGAGGATCCCCCCCCCCCCCTGAGCCAGTCTTCTCGGGGCGTCTTGGAGGCGTCTGGGGGGCTTCCTCGCCCGTCTTGAGGCCCTCTTGGGTCCTCTTGGGGCCATTTTGGAGGCACGTGGGGCCATCGTAGGTTCCAGGAGGAGTTTCTGGACTCTGAGTTGCTGTCCGCGGTGCTGGCGGGCTGGACCACAGGTCAGTAGTTTTATTCCGGAATGCGCAAAGACTAGTTATATCATCCAGCACGCAAATGCTTTTCCGGCGGCCTTTTGGGGCGGCGGATCGGAGGCACATGCGGCAAACCACCGCAGCCCCCTGCATGTTGGAAACGCCAATACGGCCAAGGAATTCAGATTCCCCCTTGTGATACCCGTAATTCATTGATGCCATAGAGAATGCCGAGGAGTGGCGCAGCAAAACGATA